AAAATTCTTAAAACAAGATTTTTTTTGTGTTCTTATCTTGCCAACATTTTCAATTTTTTAATGACTTTCTCTGATCTCTGTTCAACTTATTAAAAAGACAATGGTAACAAAAAAAAATAAATAAATAAATAAAAAAAAAACAATTCAAAACAAAAAAGTGGGGTAACAAAAATCTACATATTACAGTAAATTGGCAATATAAGGATTAAAAAAACAAAAAACAGCTTATGTAATAATATTATATAATATTTTGCTATTACCAATTTACGGTAATATATATTTTTATTACTCCTCTTTTTCTTATGAATGTTCTTTTAATGTTTGTTTTTTATTGCTGTAATAAAATTTTGTAACTTTGCAAAAGATCTCATTTCTCTTGGAAAATCTGGGAGAAATCTACAGCAAGAATACTTCAAGTGAAAATTGTTCTAAGAATGCAAGTTCTTTCGACCACAATAATATCAATTTTTGTCATCATTTTATTTCCTTGATATTGGGCTGTAACTATTTATTAATTATACAAATAGCTTTAATTTTGATGGATTCATTTCAGTCATGGGTTTGTAAATCTCTGTTATCAGGACATCATATAGTGAACTGATTTATAAATATTTGAAGAAGAAAAAAAAACAAACTTCTTTTAAAGACCATGACATATTTCAATACAATGCCTAAATCACATTTTTTTCTTCCCCCCTTTCTCATTTGCCAGTCTGTGTTGTTGCTGTCACATGACAACTTTCTTGTCCTATTTTCAGTTGAATTAAATGCAGTCATGAGGCAAACCCAAAATAAAGATTAAAATTACTAACAATATTACTAATAAAAAAAAGCAAAAAGAAAAACAAGATACTGCATAAAGCATTATCTTTTGAATGAAACAATGCCATTGTATGTAACCTAAGTATAGAGGCCAACAAAGAAATTGAAATATTGTTGCTTTTATAGTAAACAACTCACAAAAATGTAAAATTAAATAATGATATTGTATCACCAGACAATTTGTATGGATAGAAAAAGTAAAGCAAATTGATGCTGATAAATAAAGTATTTTAATAAGGTTTATTATTTGTTCTTTTCTAAATTATTAATTATAAATTTGTCAGTGAATAAATATCTTAAATTTCAGGTTAAATTTAATAACACTTAATTTCAATAGAAAGGAAAGGTTAAGTTTAAAGTTTGTACAGTGTAACCCGGATATAAGAGAGATTTACTCTGGTCCCAAATTAGAGCCTGTGTTAATGTATATAAAATAGACCAAACCCGGATATAAGAGACTTCTCTGGTCCCGACAACTCTTATATCCAGGTTACACTGTAGATTGTTATAAAATTACTTTTCATATGATTTCAGTTTTTGATATTTCCACTTAGCGAAAAAGGTCCATAAACAATTTTCTATAGACTCCAAGAACATTTTAACATCTGGAATGTAGACCAAGTGAAATGGAGTGAAATTGACAGATGAAGATATAAGCCTGACTAAACCAAGTCAAAGACAAATAATTATACAGAAATTTTTCACAATTGGGTAATTGTTAGTCTCTTCAAATTTGAAAATAAATCACTCAAAAAATTAATGAACAAATTTATTTGTTAAACCAAAAAATTTTAAAGAAAAACAGAAGCAAATTATTCCACAAACTGAAGGAAGTCATTGCAAATTTTTATTAATCATCCCAAATGAAAGATGAAAGACAAGATTGGTTACTTAAATAGCAGAAATGTTTAATTAGTGACATTAGCAAATAACAATGGGTAAAGTTGGATTTTGAAAAGTTTTGAATTGTGAAATCAGGGAAAAATGCAGCAAACATCAAATATTTTTTGTTAGAGGTTTAGATGTGGAAGTTAATTTCTGTTTTAATTATTACATCAATTTGATAGTAACATCACTAAACAGATGTAAAGAGAGACAAAGACATAAAAAACCCATTTTCAAATTTAAAAAAGGAATATAAATTTAACTATATTGCAATGCAGTTAAATTTACATTCCCCCAATTGTTTTGGTTATGCATAAAATGAACAATTTAAAACAGGTTCAAAATATAATCTTTATCCATAACTTATTGTGAAAAACAGGAGCAATTATATTTTAATTATTTTAATCAGGAGCATTGACCTTTTAAGTTCATATTGAATGAATGTATCAACAAGTGTGTGTATATATATATTGGTCAATGAGCATTCTCTACCTATACCAAACAAGAACTAAATTAAAATGACAGTAAATTGTGGTTTAGACACAAATAGAAAAGTGCAAACCACAATGACTAATAAATTTAAAGATTAAATTTTTCCACATGAAAGGAATGTAACAACTTATTTTAAACTGAATTTCTCAATTTTTAATTTTGAGATTAAGATTTTTCATGCAGAGATGGACCTTAATTAATCTAAACTAAAGAGAAAAAAATGTTTAAGAAAGTGATAGGTAAAGACGTCGACTTTATATTAACATTTGATTAATACTACATAATTGCATATTCAGATTTTTGTTTGTTTTTTTTGTATTTTTCTTTATATAATATATATATATATATATATATATATATATATATATACACACACACACACATATATATATAAATAAAAGACAAACGCACCACAATTGAACTGACAATAACAAAAATGAAACTTTGGAGTGGAATGAAACAAAGTGACCACTTCATCTCCGTGATGAATTTTTTTTTAATATTGGTAAAATAATTATTAGCAAATTACACTATGTTGTCAATCATCAATTAATACTTAAATTGAGACAGTTTTACTTTTAAGTGTTCAATAAATTGTCGTAAAAAGATACTTTTATTTAAGTGTTCAATAAAAAGTCGTAAAAATACTTTTATAAAAATTTGATATTCCATTTCTGACAACAAAACAATTTGTCTCCCTTTCACTGATGAAGATGTCACCATAAAAAAAATAAAATAAAATAAAAAAATACAGAGTTTCTGTAAACACATTTTTTTGTCAAACCGATTAAAAAACATTGAAAATTTTCCTAGTCTAAAATTACAGTATACTTTATCAAGTGCAGAAAGCATGGCATCACTTTGGTTGAAGTCATTTTTTTAAACTTAGTACTTTTTGTACAGATACTTAACTTACTAAAAGTAAGTAGTTAATCATGTTTCGTACAGAGTATTATTCATCTTTTATTCTTGTGACAAGAAAAATATCAGCACCAATATCGCAAAAACTGACTACTTTTTATTTCATTTTGGTTAAAAATTATTATGTTAAAATTGAAAAAAACATACAAGACGATTGAAATGCTAAATAACACTCACTCAATTGTAAATTTGTCCCAGATTAAAAAAAAAAAAAGAAAAAAAAAAAGAAAGAAAAGTTTATATACCTTGAAGATACTAGTTTTGTAAAGGCTTTAAAATAATTGCAGAAATAAATAATTTTTAAAATTTTTTAACATAATATATTTTACGTTTTTGGTAGGAAAATCAGGTGAAAATGAATAAAGAAAATTAAAGTAGCTGATAAATTTATTTATTATCATTTGAAATGCTTTTTTAGTTTTGAAACTTGAAGGAAATTAACACAAACAGTTAATTGTAGGTTTTAAAAAATGTTGTACAGAATGAAAACTAAAACTAAGAAGGGATTGCTAAAAATGAATTTAGATTTTTAAAGTTAAAAAGTAAAAACCCTAGTAACGACTTGTTAAGCTTTACAAGTCATTCTCAATGTGTGGGGGTGGGAAACTATTTTTGTGACTAAAAAGCAGATCGAGATGATGAGGCTAAAAATAAATTAATACCGCAATAATTCCAACAAATTTGCCTAACGGTTAGGCCCTAACCATATTTATAAAAAAAAAAAAAAATTAATTTTACATAAATTAATTAATTTCTTTTAAATTTTTAGTAAATGAAAAGCGTTGGTAGTTCTTAATAAAAAGTGAAAAAAAAAAAACAAAAACAAAAAAAAATTTTTTTTTGAATTGATAGACATTTTTAAGAGTTCGCACCCAGCCAGACACAGTGCTTGTCAAAAACAAAGTTTAAAAAAATAAGTTGTAAAAATAGGCAAGTGTCAATATCTTTGTTTGGAGAAAACAAAACTTGTATGATTTTGTTTGGTTTTAAATACCTAGACTCGAGTAAAAAAGGCAAACAAAATTGATAACTTAGTATGGAAATGAATTCCAGTGAGTAACAGATGAGGTTAATGATATGATAAGATAAGGAATCTAGATTCTAGATACAATTATTAGTAAACTGGTTTTGTTTTAGACTAGTGTGGAAGAGTGCGTATTTTCCTGCTTCTCTCCTTTTTTTGTCATTGTTGGATTGATTTTTTTCATAAAAAAGCATAGAGAAAATTATTTAAATTTTTTGAACGTTCAAAATATTTTTTCCTTTATAATTTTTTTTTTTCTTTCTTTTCGGAGCTAACTATTTTTTTTATCCCATCTTATATAGCAAAAAGCTTCATTTAGAACTTAGGGTGCATAATTCCAAACACACACAAAAAAAAAAAAAAAACAGGGAAGGAAAAGGAAAATACTCTTTTCTTGCTTACAGTAAATTCTGATGGACAAGTAACTGAAAGATCACTTGTCCTGATGTCGAATGAGACAAAATTTCCTCTGATAAAGATTTTAAAATAGCAGTCAAGTTGTAAAGATATATAAATAAAATTAAGATTTATTCATAAATAAAAACAGAAAATACCAAACCAGACAAAAAGAAAAACATAACGGGGGACACACACACACAACAAAATAAACGTGTTTTGATTGTACACGTGAACGTGTGCAGGTAAGACATAAAAACGGAAAGAAATTCGAAGTTTCGTTGTGAAGCAATAAAGTTTACAGATGATTAAAAAATAAAAATGGTTATAAATATTTCAATATAAAACAAGACATGACGAAACCAAAATTTAAGTCAATCATGACCCCATTTCATAGAAAAAAATCTAACAACCGCAACCCACATCAACATGTTTTCCCTTAATTAAAAATTATACAAACCATAAGTCTTTTTATTTGAGGCTGGATTATTAAAAGCCTGGAATGATATAATCCCCTCTTCATCATCCATCATTGTTTCTGTTCAATATTATTTAGGATTTTCATATTCTATATTCCGATGCCGTCCATGTGTAACTTTCTTTCTCTCCTTTTGCCCCCTTCCGCAATGTTTCCTGATAACTTACTTTTTTTTTAGCGCAGCGTATAATCCCTCGACTGAACTATAGTTTTAAATCAACAACACTGGTCTAAGCGAGGAAAGCGGCTTATATCATCACAATTAAAGAGGTGTTTTAAATGATTTATTCATAACAATCACTACATGACTGTTAATGTTGATGAAGAAGTACCACCACTGCTTTACCCGCCGACCACTTTCATCATCGACAGGAGGCATGTGGTTGGATGTAATGCAAAAATAAAATACCCCCTCTACCTAACAAGCAGAAAAACTGCCAGATTTCAGAACTAGTGATCGATTGGTATTTAACATTTTTTCTTTAACTTGAAATTGGTTGAATATATCTTTAAGATGCACCTGTTGCCAACTACTAGTAAGTGTATTTGATTTGAAGAGGACTATAGAATTTATGGTACGCTGACTTGTCATAAACTGTTTTCAACTAGTCAGTAAAATAATGTCATTTCATGCATACAACAAATAAAAAATAGGAATATTTTTATCCTTTTCAAGAATGAAAAGGACTATTACTCGCTAATTGTAATTGTTATCATTAACATACCTAAGATTAAAATTTGATTATTATTCTTTTTCATTTCATGTCTTTTCAGGACGTGGACAATCATGGCTCTCTACATCTTCCCATCCTTTGTAGCGCTTTGCAATGTTTGACTTTTTATTATCCTTCCCCACCTACCGTTCTGCCATATCTCCTGTGGATATCAAATTCTCCAGATCCTGTTTCTTCATTACACATCACAGTAATTTCGTTAAACTTTTAAAATGTTTAAATGAGGAAAAAAAAAAAAAAACCTTAAAAATCCTACTCTGTATATTTTTTAAATTATTTACTATTTTCTTCCGCATTATAATAGAGAAAGAATTATCTTTTAGTCCTACTTTGATAAATTAGTAATCAGTACAAAGTTAAGGAAAGGGGAAAAAAAAAATCAGAAAAATGTTTTAGAATTTATTTTGTGGACGAAACCGTTCATGATAAAAAAAGTTACTTCCTGATAGGCAGCTTAGTTTTAAATGTTTACCTATTAAATATTCAAAGAGAATTAACATGTCTGAATCACAAACAGGTGTTAATTTGACATTTTGTAAAATTAAAAAAAAAAAAAAAAAAAAAATGTAATTACTATAATTAACCATTGCAAAAAGTTAATTGAACTGAATATGAATAAAATTCTAATACATCAACATTTCTCAGAGGTCATTCAATGCTGTTTAATACTTTCAACTCTTTGCAAGAAAGATAATGAGTAACTTTTATCAAAATTGTCTCTGTATAATAAGGCTATCTTGAAAATAAACATTTGTATGACATTGTTCAGTCATTAAATTTATCGCTTTCAAGGGATGGTACAATAATGAAATTGTCAACCAAATCATAGCTATCTCCAATAATGAAAAATAGGAACAAAATTTACTTAGATAATAGTGTTTATAAATTTTTTAGTTTTTTTTTTTATAAACATAGAAATATTCAATTTTATCAAAGGGATCTTCCTTTTAAAATCTGTTGAATATTATACAGAAAATGGAAACAAAACAGACACTTATACTTACAATCAGAAAGAGACAGGTATCAGAGATTTCGTTCTACAGAAGGATGATGAGATTACCATGAACAAAGCATGTGAGCAACGAGCAAGTTTTAAGGAAAATGGAAACAAAACGGACACTTATACTTACAATCAGTAAGAGAGTTGAAATTTCTGGGATAAATTATCAAGAAGGCAGGCTTGGAAAATTTGACACTCAAAGGACATTGTTTTTACTTGATGAACATATGTGAACTGATGGCAGAATGGTGAGTGGGGGGGATGATAAAAAAAGCCAAACATTGCTATGAGTTACAAAGAATAGGAAGTTGTGGAGAGCCAGGACTGCCCACATCTTGAAGGAACAGAACAAATAAAAGATGTAGAAAGTAAAACATCCTTATCTTTTGCATTAATAATCTTATTTAACGAAAATCATTGTCATTTTAGAATCTCTCTCTAATTTACTAAACAAAGCTTAAATGTGGTAATTGATCTAACGAGATAAGCTTGCTAACCATTACACCATGATGCTGTGCGCGCACACACACTCTTTTTCTCATTTATATATATATATATATATATATATATATATATATATATATAGATAATATTAGTGGAAAATATACATACATATGAAAAATATATCTAAAAAATTCCCATACATGTATATTTTCGGAAAAAATTTTCCAAGAGGAAGGATCCAGGTAGAACTCAATGTCTAGGACAGAGTAAGGATATAATAAAAAGGCTTAAACACTAATATTCCATGGTCATAATTTATTCCATTGGAATCGTAAATACGATCCAAATTATCAGACCTACAAATTCAAATATATATATATATTTATTACATAGAATAGAAATTCAAAATGACTCCATTATGGAGTCATTTTGAATTTCTATTCTATATAATTTATTTATATAAGCTCTCTTTGTGGATTACTTTTAATATTTTATATTATTAGGATTCACTTGGATTATATACCAATAGATTATTACCTCTCTCTCTCTCTCTCATATATATATATATATATAAGAAAAAAAAAAAGATAAACATGAAATTTTTTGTGTGTTATGTATCATCAGAATGGGCTTTATTGCCACATCAACACATGCACATGAAATGAGAGACACAAATATACAAAATTATAAAGAAAATTGTATCTGCTGTTGCTAAACTATGAGTATAAATTTCAACTAAAGAGAAAACGGTATTATTTAACAAGTAATATTTGGTGTTGCATAACTCGATCAAAGGCACTTGCTATAACTCAAGGTGGGAATTTTTTAATTTTTTATTAAAGTGATTTCTTAAAAAAAAAAAAAACAATATTAAAATAAAATTATGAGAATAAGGATGTTTGGGTTTTTTTTCCATCTAATTTTTTTTTTTATCTATAATTAACAACATTTTTTACGTTTAATTTTTGTTAGTTTTAATTTTTTGTGTCTGGTCACTTGTATTTAAGTAGGCTTGTCTATTAGGTCAGCTAGTCAATCCCTGTTGTAGACACCTGCTCAGGCACACTTGTATTTGTTCAACACCCACAGATCTCCCCTATGGTCTATGCTGAGCAGATATTAGTTACAATTTCTGGGAAAGAGTGAATTATCTAGTGTGATCAATAATCTGAACAAGGCCAGCACACTCAAACTCTCAGCCACAATGACTTGTGACTTCATCCTAGTGCAATCATCAGTGGCTCCCAAATAGTTCAATCTACCCAATTTCACTCACTTTGCTTGTGTCAACCATGGTATCATTTTCAGGCATTTTCCAAAGGTGCCATACACTGGGATTGCCTCTCCAGGCCGATAACATTAAGAAGTCACCTTCCTGATAAATTGACCACGATGAGATTCTAACCCAGTGGTTGGAAAGCAAATATTTTAACCATTTGGTCATGGGCCCACATATTTTTAATATTTTACTATTTAAAGTAAGAAAAACCTATATTTTTCATATTTTCAAGAGGCTTTCTTTCATGAGATTTCAGATTAACATTAAAGATTAAAATCAAGAGTCATGTAATTCATTAGGGGCATAAAGGCACCAGATGTAGCAGTGGATTTGTTGAGGGCAAGATAGAATCTGTTCCTCTTCAGGTTGAATTCACAATTTCCCTTCTCTTCAACTGGTTCAACTAAAAAGTCCAGTTTGCCCTGTTATTAGAGGACTGGTTTGGTTAGATTTTGTTTAATGGCATGTCAACACGGATAGGTCATTTTAACAGGTGAATATATATATATTGTTTTTGTTGTATATTTTTCTTGTTAATATAATATTATTTGTTTGTACATACATATTAGTTCTTGTCATTTTTCATTTATTTATGTGAACTCGCATCTCAAGTCTGTCATGTTTGTTGTGGACATTTCAGGAGACATACGTGTTTCTCTCAATGAATACACTGGCCCACAACAAGTCCTTCATAATGCACAGTGTAAATGTCTACATCAAAATAAGGTCATTAAAAAAAATAAAAATATCCCTTACATATGACTTAGAAATTCAGAATAGTTTAAAGCAGTAGGCTATATTTTTTTTTGTGGGGGGGGGGCATTTTTTTGTTGTATTCTTGATAAATAACTTTAACATTTATTATAATCTCTTTTGACTCATGATTAAGTTAATGGTATGAAAATGTTTGCCCAAAAGAAACTAATGAAAAATGATCACATTTTTTAAAGCCATAAAAAAAAACACCACTTCATATTTCATTGATAAAAATATGTTATAATAAGACGGCTATTGTCTTGTGAAGAGAAAAAAAATTCATACATTCTTACAATCAGAAGTGTATTTTTTGATAATCAACAGATTGTAACTAATACTATAATATCAGGGAGTGAGAGGAAACTGTGACACATTCAAATAGAGTTTGTTTCTTTGATGTAAGTGAAGAAAAAGAAATGGTACCTAAATATAGACTGAGATTTAGAAGGATATAGAATAAAGATGGGGAAGGAGTGGAATTATTAGAACACTAAATGAATTTTTTTTTTTTTTTTTTTTAAAAAAATTAGCTTTTTTTTCCATTCTGATATGAAAACAATGTAAATAACTTTCATCTTATAAAACAATGTATTCCACTTTCATTTTTGAAAGCTTAAATTTATTAATTTTCTTACATTGGACAAGGTCACAGCTGTCTAAAGATTATTTTATTTTCCTAACATAGCTTCAATTCTTTGATCTACATGCTACAGGTGTCCAAAGTATAAGAAAAAAAAAGGAGAAAAAAAAAAGGAGAGAAAGAAAAAAAGAGAAAAAAAGGAGAAAGAGAAAAAAAGGAGAAAGAGAAAAAAAAGGAGAAAGAGAAAAAAAAGAAGAAAAGA